CGGCCCTTGGCAGACAGCACCGGGAGGCACGAGTACCTTGAGCTCCCGCGGGATGTCCCGCGCCCGTAGTCTCTGCTACTCCCCGCATGGATCCAGGGTCGCGGCTAACCGCCTCTCTGGGTTGAGGGAGGACGGAGCGACCACGGGGGGGGTGCGGCAGACGGCCCTTGGCAGACAGCACCGGGATGCACGAGTACCTTGAGCTCCCGCGGGATGTCTCGTGCAGTCCTTTAGAACACAGCACAGACATCACCGCGCATCGAACGGGTCCCAGGTGCACCTGGCCAGGGGGACGCGGCCGCCATTCCCCGAGGAGCATCCAGGGTCGCAGCTAACCGCCGCTGAGAGGAAGGTAGTACCGAACGGTCGATCTTTTCGTCCCCTACTGGTGTGGTCCAGGGTGGGCAGTCTGCAGCCAGTGGACTGGCTCGCTGAGGGCAGTGCTGCCACCTCGAAGGCCGACGCATCCATGGGGTGTGTGCGGTGGTACATCCAGGGTCGCTGCAAACCGCTGCTGGAGTGTCGAGAGGAGGTCTCGTACCCGTAGTCTCAGCTGCTCCCCGCGTGGACCCAGGGTCGCGGCAAACCGCCGCTCTGGGTTCGGGGAAGACGGAGCACCAACGGAGGGTGGCGGCAGGCGGCCCATGTCAGACAGCACCGGGATGCAAGACTACCCTGAGCCCCCGAGGGAGGTCTCGTGCCCGTAGTCTCAGCTGCTCCCCGCGTAGATCACCCGCGGGAGGTCACCAGCCCGAAGGTGGGGACAGACATCGCCGCACACCGAATGGATCCCAGGTGCACCTGGCCAGGGGACAGCATCCATGGTCGCAGCTAACCGCCGCTGAGAGGAAGGTGATACCGAACGGTCGATCTTTTCGTCCACTACTGGTGTGGTCCATGTCTCGCGCCCGTAGTCTCTGCTACTCCCCGCGTGGATCCAGGGTCGCGGCAAACGCCGCTCTGGGTTGAGTGAAGACGGAAGACGGAGCGCGCATGGGGGGCGGCGGCAGACGGCCCTTGGCCGACAGCACCAGGGCGCAGAGCACCTTGAGCCCCGCAGGCCCCTCCCCGCCGGGGGGGCAACGGGGCGGGCACCAATGGATGCGGCCGCTGGACAGGAGCGCGCGCGGACCCTTCACTGCCAGTGCGGTGCCACGACGGGGGGCAGCAAACGGCTGTTATGGGGAGACGACCAACCACTGTTTCTTGCCCTTCCTGGGTGCGCGGGTGTCCAGGTGGCCCTTTGCCGCCTGGCGACCCCTGCCCGCGCCGCCGCTTCGACCCGGGCGCCGATGCCGCAGCTGAGCCCAGTCGACGCCGAGGCCCAGCGCGCCGCTAACGGCCCGTGCGTCGCACTTGTGGCCGCGGGAGGAATCCAGGAAGTGAAGGCAAGTTTGCGGGTCGTGCCGTAGCGGGTCGAGCGCGCCTGCGCTGCCAGGCGCGGCCTGCTGCGCGGCGAAAGCGTGCCAGGTGCCTGCGAACATTGCCCCCGGGGAGACTTGGAGCCGCCCCATCGCCTCGCCAGGTGTCTCCCCGGGAAGGTCCCACTGGATGGTGCCGATCTTTGCTTTGTGCACCTGCTATCCCGTGTCGAGGTCTGAGGGCTCTGGCCATTGGCGCGGCTCTGGCCATTGCCGCTGCCGCGAGTTCTGGCCGCAAGTCTCCGGCGAACCAGCCCCGCTGTCTTGGGCGGAGGGCTCGGAATCTGTTTGCGACAGTTCCGGTTGCGCGCCTGGCGGGGCCCTGCGGGTAGGTGCGGGCCGCGTAGTTGGCCGCCGGGCAGGGGCTGGATCGCCTCCGGCAGCCCGGGCGGACGCTGCCCTGAGGTGCGCGGGGAGAGGCCCCTTTCGCTGGCGTTCGCCCTCGGACCTGCGCCCGCCGTCGCTCACGGGCGCGCCCCCTTCAGTCGCCGCGAGGCTCCCGCCGGGCGCGGGGGCGCCACTGGTCGTGCCAGGTGCGCGCACGTACGGCGACACCGTTTCCATTGCCAGAGCACAAACTTCTTTGTCAGGCGTGTCCTGGGCGTCTGGAGGGAGCGCCTGAGGTTCGCCGCCCATTCGGGTGGGTTCACTGGCAGGGGAAGGAGGGCGAATAGGCGCGAAGGGGTTTCTCCCGACGAGCCGGCGGACGGCTTCGACGTCCTGCGTCTGAACGGCTGGTCGCGGCCCCAATGTTGGATCTGTGGCGCCCCCAGAGGACTGCTGGCGGTCGCCCTATTTTGTAGAGAAGGTGGGGATGGCACGCCGTGGCAGGCGAGCCCCTGCTGGTCCAGGATCTCGCTTCGCGGACTGTTGCGTCTGTCGTCCGCACTTTCGGAGGCCAACTCCTGTCTGCCCGATTCTGCTCCAGGGGCCCGGCTGACGGCTTGCGCCTCATCCGCGTCTTCAATGGCCTCCGCCGCTTCAGGCCCCCGATCTTCCGCGGCCTCCGCAGCTTCCGCCCCTTCCGCCGCATCCACCCCCCCCTTCTCCTTGTCATCCAGGGTCGCATCTCCTGTCCCAACCGGGCAGCTGGAGTCGAGAAGATGGCTCGGGCACTGAGCTGCAAGAGTGCCTTGGTCTCGGAGACCGGGCATCAGGGAGCAAGGGCGCCTCCTCCTGACCCGTTCCGCCTCCTTCTACACCCGTCGCATCTGCCATTCCCCGCGGGGATCCAGGGTCGCGGCTAACCGCCGCTTTGGGCTGCGAAGTGCCATCCTGGTTGCCTTCTGGCCCAACGTGCCCATTTTTCCCTTGTGAGCCTGACGCCATGGTCACTCCGGGCTCGACTGGCCTTCTAGGTCTGCTGGCCGCCCGGGGGGCCCGCGAGGGCGAGACGACCCCAGCGAGGCGAAGCAGGGGCGCCTCGGTCGCCAACGGACATGGGGCTGCAAGGGTGCAAGGGAACCTCTTCGGCGCAGCTGGAGTCGCGAAGATGGCTCGGGCGCTGAGATGCAAGAGTGCCTTGCGGTCTCGGAGACTGGGGACCAGGGAGCAAGGGTAATTCTGACCCGTTCCGCTCCCTTCTGGCCTGGCGGACCCTGTGGCTTCTTGTGGGTTTTGCTGGCTTCCAGGGGTGCCCGGAAGGCCGTCAGGGAGCAGGGGTACCTCCTTCTGACCGTCGGAGAAGGTGCCTTGAGGTCTCGCGGGTCCCTCGTCGCCAGGGTTGCGGCAGACGGCTGTCTGAGCTGTTGTGGGTCTCTGCGGCTGCCGCTGCTGCTGCTGCTGTTGTTGCTGCTGCTGCTGCTGAGGGAGCACGGGTACCTCCTTCTGACCGTCGGAGGGGGTGCCTTGAGGTCTCGTGGGGCCCTCGTCACCAGGGTTGCGGCTGACGGCCGTCTGAGCTGTTGTGGGTCTCTGTCCGCCAGGGTCGCCGCTGACGGCCGCAGGAGTTCTTGAAGATCTCTCTTCTCCTGCGTCTTCTTGCCAAGTCTGCTGACCGCCAGGGGTGCCTGGAAGGGCGTCAGGGAGCGGGGGCACCTCCTTCTGACTCGTTCCGTTCCCTTCTGGCCTGACAGGCCCTGTGTCTTCTTGCGGGGTCTGCAGGCCAGACTGAGGGCTGGCCTTGCCCGCGGCTGCAGCGGCCGCGGAGGCCACTGCGGCCGCGGCCGAAGCGGCGGCCGCGGCGCCGGCGGCCGCGGCAGCGGCGTGCGCGGCAGGCGGCCCCCAGGCTGCAGCGCGGGCCACGGCAGCCACGGCCTCTGTCAAGCGGCCAACCGCCGCGGCGGCAGCGGCCTCGGCCGCGGCCACGGCGGCGGCCGCGGCGGCGGGGGGCAGGCGGCCGGCGGGGGCGGCCGCAGCGGCAGAGGGGCGGCCCGTTGCGGTGGGCCGCCGCCGCGGGGCAGCCCGTGGCCGCCGCCGCCGGGCGCGGAGCAGCGGCGCACGCGGCGCTGGCGGCGCCAGCGGCTCCAGCGGCGCCGACGGCGCCCCGCGACGCCTCTGGCGGCGGCGGCGCCAGAGCCGGCAGCGGCGGCAGCAACGGCGGCGGCCGCGCCGCCGGCGGCCGCGGGGGCAGCCGCGGGCGGCGCCGGCCACCGCGCCCTCCGCCGCCGCCGCCGCCGCGCCGGGAGCCGGCAGCGGCAGCGGCGGCGGCAATCGCCGCCAGCCAGGGCGGCGGCGGCCAGGCGCCAGCGGGGGCCGAGCTGGGCCGGCCGCCGCCGCCGCCAGCCGCCGCCGCCGCCTCCCGCGCGCCGGCCTCCAGGGGGGAGGCGGCGGCGGCGGCAACAACCGCAGCAGCGGCAGGCGGAAAACCCGGCGGCCCGTCTCGGGCGGCGGCGGCCAGGCGCTGCCGCCGCCGCAGGGCGGCGCCAGAGGGGCCGCCGCCGCCGGAAGCCATTGCGACGGGGCGGGCCCGGCGCGAACCTGGACCAGGGGCGGGCTCGAGCCGAGACGGCTTGAGCCAAGGGCTACGGACGCTGGTGGGGATATTTTTTTTGATTGGCGGCTCACAAGGACAGATCCAAGAAGCGGGACGGACTCGGCTGGGGCACAGGGCGAGATAATTGGCTGCAGAGGCGCATAGGCCGCGGCAGCAGGTGCACGTGCCTGGGACAAAATGACCCTCATTAGGACGCTGGCGGCCCGAAATTGGAACGCAGGCCCGAACTGGGGACGTGCTGGTGGGGATACGCGAAGCGTGAAGGATACCTCGAAGACTGAGATGAAAGGTGTTTTCCCAAATGGGGATTTCTCTATAGAAACGTCTCAAAATGTTGCGGTCAGGCATTACATGAAGAGGGGACTTCGGACGGGAGGGTGGACTGAAGTTTACTCTGGCCCTACTCCTCCTCCTCATCCTCCTTCTCCTACTCCTCCTCTTCCTACTCCTCCTCCTCCTCCTCCTCCTCCTCCTCCTCCTCCTCCGACTGCTCCGACTACTCCTCCTCCTCCTCCTCCTCCTCCTCCTCCTCCTCCTCTATCCTCCTCCTCCTCCTCCTCCTCCTCCTCCTCCTCGTGCCTTCCCCGTGACCTACTCCTCCGCCCCCCTCCCACCCCCCAGAATCCCTCCCCATCCCCCCTTAAGCCCCTCTCTCTCCCCAAGCTCTCCACAGCTGGGGCTATGACCGACAATGGCTCGAGCGCCGCCGCATGCGCCTCGCTCCCTGCTGGCGGCGGCGCGCGCGGCGCCGAACAAAACAAACAAAAAAAACTCGGCGGGCAGCTCCGGCCGGCAGGCCCAGGAGTCTCAGCAGGCGCGCGCTCCCAAAACGCCGGCCTTCGCGCTGCGCGGCGTCTTCGCACCTTCGGGCGGGCGGCGCGGAAAAATGCCCGTCCCCGAGCAGGGTGCTGCGCTGTGCTCCCTGACTGCGCCCGCGCAGAGCTGCCCAGCGCTGCCCGGGCCCGAGAGGACAACGGCACTGTCGTCGAGCAAGCAGTGGACGAGGATTTTAGAGCGTGTCGCCAGGGCGGAAGCTCGGACACCGTGCGAAATGCTTAAGAAATCATGGGTTAAGAAATTCATAGTCTCAGAATTTAGATAAAAAAACCAACAATTTCTACTAAAAAAATAGGTTGTCCATTGAAACAATAAGAATAATCAAGACTCTGGCCGAAACTTTACGTTTTCTTAAGCATCGCCTAGGGTGGACTCAGGGTTCGGCTCACAGCTCGTCGCCCTCCGTGCCCTCCTGTCCGGGGCGAACGGCTAGGCAACGACACGTCAGCCCTACCCCTGCAGGTCAGATCTCGAAGACGCCGGCCGGGGCTCAGAGGTTGCAGGGTGTCTGCAGTCAGGCGGGCCTCAGCGGGGCGTCCGATGCCCCAGCGCCGATTGAACCAGCAGGGGTACAGTGCGGGCGCGGTCGCAAGAAACCCTCGCAAGGAACCCAACCCTGGAAACCCGCGCGCGAGGTGCACCTGAGGGAAAAACCCGACCATCCCGAACGCAGCAGCTCCCTCGACGGCCGCGGGAGGTCACCGCGCAGCGCGCGGAACGAAGAAACCCAGGATACCCTGACGAAAAGCATGTGGTTTCTTGGTGCGCGCCCCCACTGCAGGTCAGATCTCGGAGACGCCAGCCGTGGTTCAGAGTTCGAAGGGTGTCTGCAGTCAGGCGGGCCTCAGCGGGGCGTCCGATGCCCCAGCGCCGATTATACTAGCAGGGGTAGGGTTCGCACGTGGTCGCAGAACGAGAGGGCGGGGACAGCAAGGGGGGGGTCAGCAAGGGGGGGTGTTCTCTGTTGAGCAGGGACCCACCGCCCCGGCATC